GTCGTATGCAAGACAGTCCCGACCACACCACACACCAGCGGGCCCGGCCACACCCGTTTCCTTGCGCCTTGCTTGTCAATTTAGTCACGTCCAGTCACTAGTCAAGAAATGTCCGCGTGATTGCGGTGTTGTCTGTGTGTGTGTGTCTACGAGCACGCGCGTGTGTGTGTGCGTGCGTGTGTGCGCCCGTGTGTGTGTGTTATTGAGGTAGGTTAAGGGGAGGGGACGGATATTGAACTACTGTCCGTAAAAAAATGCACTGCATATTTTTTTGTTGACGCAACAAATAAAAGCAAAGCAATGAAAGGGATTCGATTGGGTAGACCGCAAGCGTACAGCGGTGCAGCGCGTGTTGCCTACACCGCCCGACAGGTAGGCTACCACGCCACCTCCCGAGCTCGGCGGGTTGGCCTACCCCGCGCTCTGCAGGCGCGTCCCCCTCAGAACGTCGTCCGCGGTGTGACACGACCAGCTTCGCTGCCGAAGATACATATTGCAGGCGACACACCGAAATCGCTGTTTAACAGGTTAAGTTAACAGGAAGGCCTTCCCCCTTGTCTGGTCAGCGCGGCGAGTGTAAGCCGGCCTTACATCCATCGGGAACGGAATGACGATTCAGAAGCGGCGACCCGCGTTGGAAGCAGGAGAGACCGGCGGGAAGCAAAGTGGAGGAGACATGCGGCAGTACAGAAAGCGGGAGAGGCAGTGGGCACGTGTATGCAGCTCCGTCACTTAGTCACACCGCCAGAGCACGAGGAGCAGGTAAGTGCGGGGGTTGACAGCTCCGCGGTGACACCTGACCCGAGCCTGCGGTGGCGCGAGTCGAACCGTAACAAACGATGCTGTCCTCGCGACCAGGAGAGGGCAAGCAAGCAGGCAAGGAGGAGAGGGTCGCGAGAAGAGCCGCCGCCGCCGCCCCGCGAGGAGGAGCAGCAGGGCGATCGCAAATCACTGCGCGAAAGAGCGGGGCGGGTATGACAAATTGCAACGAGCGCGACGACGCCGCCGCCGCCCGCTGACGTCGCCAAAAAAGCACTCACTACTCCTGCGCGTTGTCGACGACCCACGAGGGGGCGACACGACCGCCCCGCCCGTCGCCGCGCCCGCCAAAAGCACCCGCCTTTGCACTTACGGTTCGGTTTTCCAGAAGACGCCGGCGCGACCGGCCATGCCAAGGCGGCGGTGGCGGCGGTGGCGGCGGCGGTGGCGGCGTCGATACGCCGTTTGATTTGCCTGCCGAACCACACACACTACTTCCTCCCCCGGGAGTCGCCCGCGTGTCTTTTTCCCCGTCGACTTTCAATACGACGTCGGCGCAGCCCCCGGATAGCGAGGCCTTCCCTCCCATTCTCGGCTTCTATTATCAGCGCCGGCCTCATACGGACGGATGTCGAGGGCCGCCTCCGACACACACACCTGTGCCGCCCCCCGCCGTCCCCCGCCGCCACCTTCCGCGCTCGCTCGCGGGGCCGGATGATTAATGCTCGCCGAGTCCTGCGACGTCATCCCTCACAAAATCGCGTCAGGTCAGAAATAAGCCTTCCCTCCCGGCCCCTGAGGCCTGCAAGCCGGTGCATGCATACACGCCGGCGGGGACGGGTCGAGGACGAGCACCTCGGGCAGTTCGTTAACAAACATAATTTTAAAATATTTTTTTGAAAAAGAAAAAACTTTTTTTTTGGAGAGTAGCATCTAACATCGGTTGGTGGTCCTGGTCCAGCTTGTACATACACGGCCTCGACGAGGCGGGCTCATAGTAGTGGTCGGCAGTTTGTGGAAAGGGCGGGCGTCTCCCCGCTGCTGGGGGAGGGTCGGGGGGCTGCGGGGGCCTCTGCGCTCAGCGGGGCGCCGCGGGGCTCAGCTTTCACTTCCTACCCCTGCTGGTTAGTCGGCTCCGCAGAGCACTTGAGCGGCCAGATTGGGAGGCGATATCGGGGCGTGGCGATCGTTGGCGACTTCCTGCGACGGCTACATCCACCGGCGGGTGGAAGGGAGGAGAAGGGGCTCGGCATGGCGGGGCCAAGCGCAGGGACCAGGGAGGGTGGGAAGTGGCGGTGTCTCGTCGGCGTGCACGAGGAACACGGTGTCGACGGTGACAGCGTCGGTCCGGCAGGGGGGAGGCTGCTGGGGGGCGACGGCCGCGCGGCACAACAGAACAACAAGAAAATAGTTGGCAGCGCCACCGCGCGCCGTGCACTCCGTACTAATATGCGACGAGAGTTTCTTTATTCGTCTTTTGTGCGGCCGCCCCCCGCTGCCGCCGCCTCCGGGGCCGCCGCGCCGGAGGGCGCCCTTCTCATTGCGGCAGTCCCCTGACAATGGCTTCGGTGCCCCTCAAAGCGGCGCCACCCGGAGTATGAGACGGGCCGGACCGGGGCGACGCGCGCGCCAGAGCGACAATGCGCGGCCAGCAGACAGACGCAGCAGTAGCAGAGGCGATGGTGGCTGCGGCGCGACGAGTCACGACGCCGAGTGCGCGCGTAAACCCTCGCTAACTTTTCCATACACGGAAATTCTCAAACTTTGTTGGACTTTTCGTCAGCGTGTCGCCGCGCGCTCCCGGCTCGGGCTCGGGCTCAAGTTTTGTTGAACCCCGGGCGCGGGGCGGGGCGAGCGGAGGGGTCGGCGGGGCGGCGGGGCGCGCAGCGATGCGAGCATAAGTGACCGATGAGCGTCCCGCCCGGACCGGCGCCGCGTCCACCAGGACGAGGATGGTCATGGACCTGCGGCCACGCGCACAACAGAACACCAGTGACGGCGCGCCGTCCAGGGAAATCATTCTGTTGCTGAGGACTCACCCAGCACTTTGACGGGCTTCTCGACGAGGTGGCTCTTGTTGGCGGCCACGGGCGCCGTCAGCACCCCGACCAGCACGAGGACGCCGACGAGGACACCGACGACGGCGCCCACGGCATCCCGCCGACGCGACGGATGACAGCGGCGGCGAAGGGAGCCCGTCGACGAGGACGTGACGTGGCCGGGGGTGTCGTGGAGGTCGCCGTCGAGGGCGAGGCTGCTGCTGGCAGTCGTCGTCGTCGAGGGTGGAGCGCGTGGGCGTGCGCGGCGGGCAGGCGAGACGCCGGGTGGAGCGGCGGTGCGGCTGCGGCTCGCCATTGGGCCCTTACCATCCCGCCCGACTCCCTCAGTCGACTGAGCGCGGCCGGCGGCGCCAGCCAGCGTGCCGCTCCGGCCGCCCCGCCCCACCGCGCCGCCTGGGCGCCGCGCGCTCCACGTGGTGCCTGTTGTTATTGCTCTTGTTGTTGGGGGCCTCTGCCCGCGCCGCCGCCGACGGGGGTAGGAGGGCGGGCGAGCAGAGGTGCGCGTGGGCTATGGCATTGCAGCAAAGTGCGCTGCTACGCTGGCGGGGCTTCGAGGGGCAGGCTAGGGTGGAGGCTGAAAGTCACACAGAAAAAAAAACATAAAACAATTGGGAAAAAGAGTGCCTAAAAAATAATATTTCGTAGTTACTATTGGTGAGCGGCTAGCGTTTCTCTGAGACCGCGAGCCTAGCCACCTCCTCCTCATCCTTATTCATATCCGTCGTGGCCCGCGTCATTCTCGGCGTCCCGCGGGAGGCCGGCGGCGGCGGCGCGGTGGCGTCGGGGCCCTCCTGCTCCTCCAGGACCCGGGGGCGGCGGGGGGAGCCCTAACGACTGCCAAGCAGTGCCGCGGCGCCGTGCATCTCTCTTACTCTGAGCGTGACAGCGCCGCGCGCCTCCGCCTCAATGCACCTCCTTCGGCATGACAGACAGGGTCGCCACCAGGACGCACTGCACGCCCACACCGCCACCCGCCCCTCCTCGGCCTTTTTCTTCTTTAAAACACGGCCGCCGCTGGTGAGTCCGACCGCGGCGCGGCTCCACAACCCTTTTGTGTTCTCATCTCCCCCTCCGCCGCGGCGCCCCGCGTAGACCTCTTGCCACTCCGTCGCCGTCCTTATTCACGCCTTTACACCTAAGAGAGCTTATCACGGCGACACGGAAAGGCGCGCGCGGGGAGCGGGCGGGGGAGG